ATCAAAAGTTATGCTACTCAATGGATATCAACAAAACCAAGGAAACCATGCATTATTCTTCAAGTACTCGAACTTAAGTGGAGTCACAATTTTATTTGTTTTTGTGGATGATATCATCTTGACGGGAAATGATAAAATGGAAAAAGTGATTATAAGTAAATGTATTGTCAAGGAGTTTGAGATCAAAGAATTTGATATATTAAAATATTTTCTTAGAATTGAAGTAGCCCAATCAAGTGGAGGAAGCTTCATTTCACAACAGAAATACATTAATAATCTTCTTAAAAAAACATGTAAACTAGTTTGTAAATCGACACCAACACTAGTAGAGCCAAATCTCAAATTGGGGGAAGCTAAAGAAGATCCATATGTAGATAAGGGAGCTTACCAGAGACTTGTGGGAAAATTGATCTACCTTACCTATACCAGACCAGACCAGATATTACCTTTGTTGTAAGTATGGTTAGCCAGTTCATGCAAAATCCAAAGCAGACTCACATGCAGGATGTAGAAAGAATACTGCACTACCTTTAAGGTAATCTAAAGAAATTTTCTTCATAAGAGACTGGAATAACCCCAGTAGCATATTCTGATGTAGATTACACAGGATCACTAGTGAATAGATGATCTATCTTAGGATACTACACATTCATTGGAGAAAACTTTGTTATATGGAGGAGAAAGAAACAGAGTGTGGTGGCAAGGTCTACTACATAAGTAGATTACATAGATATAGCATTGGGAATATGTGAGCTACTATAGATCAAGATGATTCTAGAAGACCAAAGATCAAGCGGGAAGGACCCATGAAGTTACACTGCGTCAACAAATCATCAATCATTATAGCTCACAATCCGGCTTAGCATGACAGGATCAAGCACATTGAAGTGGACATAAATTTCATAAATGAATAATTAGATAATAATCTTATATGTATCTACCATGTCTCATCAAAAGATCAGCTTGTAGACATTCTAACCAAGGAACTCAATAATTTTATCTTTTTGGAACTGAGTACCAAGATGGGAATGACAGATTTATATTTCCCAGCTTGATGGGGACTGTTAAATCTCAGCCGTCCCTTGACACTTGATCCCATGGCCAAGATGGGAATCCATGAGAGGCTCACTTGGATCATGCCGATCTCCTTCCATATTTGGGTGGCTGATTTAAGAAGGATTATATTAAGTAAATTATGCATGATTCTGAATTTAACAACTTGATCAGTGCTCTGTGATAAAATCCTATTGTGCTAGCTTATACAATGTCTTTGATTATCTACTCAAGTGTGGGCAGTAAAGTAGGCAAAAAATGCGAGTTGATATTGCAAAATGTTCCGCTGAAAGTGGAGTGGTAGAGCTTGGAAGGATAAATGTTGGGTTAAATTTAGAGAATTGGGGATAGAAAATGCTTAATTTTATTATGCTAAACTATCCCTATTTATAAATCTATTCAAGATGTCTTAATAAAGAAACAAATAACTACAAAATCATACATAATTGTCTTAATATAATCATTCCTAAATCAGCCACCCAAATATAGAAGGAGATCAGTGTGATCCATGTGAGCCTCCCATGGATCCTCATGTTGGTTGTGGGATCAAGGGCCAAGAGACGGTTGAGATTTAGCGGTGTGATCGAGGTGAGCCTCCCACGTATCCCCATGCTCATACCTGTTAACGGCGAATGGCGCAAAGGTCCATTTGGAGCCATGACGCATAGTGCACGACGCGGCGCGTGCTATTTTGACCATAGCGCAAGCTATATAAAAATTATAAAATAATAAGTATGAATATGTAATATTATTAAAAATGAAAAACAAGCTATCATAATAATAAAAGACAACCATAACATATATAAGTTCGACTAAGTAACATTCAAATATCTCATAATTCAAATACTACAATCTTTTTTTTTTAAAGATCAAATAAGAATTTAATCTACTATTGGGAATCATTGTCTCCTACTTCATAATCCTCTTCATCACCCTCGGTACCGCTACTTCATAATCCTATAAGAACTGAATCTGACATTTTATGATCACCTAAAAGCAAACAAATTTAGATAAAAGAAACATAATATTTTCCAAGAAACATAATATTTTCTAAGAAACATAATATGGGGGCTGCCAGGGGTCCAATGGGGTGCTTGCCCCCTGGTGGGGTTCGACCTGTACCTAGGTGTACCGAGCTGTACAAAGCATATATAACTAGCGGTACCGAGCATGTACCGAGCTGTACAAAGCATGTACCTAGGTGTACCGAGAAAATTTATTTGTAAGAGAAATTTTGAAGTTCGTTTGTATGGAAATTAGGGAGCAGTACCGAGCGTGTACCTAGGTGTACCGAGCTGTACCGAGCTGTACAAAGCATATAACAAGCGGTACCGAGCATGTACCGAGCGGTACCAAGCATTTATATAGTTGCACCGAGCGGTATCATGCCTGTACTTAGCAATACCGAGCTGTACCGAGTGGTACAAAGCATGTACCGAGCAGTACCAAGCATGTACCGAGCAGTACCGAGCATGTACTGAGCAGTACCGAGCGGTATCATGCATGTACTTAGCAATACCGAGCGTGTACCTAGTGATACCGAGCGTGTACCTAGTTGTACCGAGCTGTACCGAGCGGTACAGAGCATGTAACTAGCGGTACCGAGCGGTATAAAAAATATTCATAAGTATACCAAAATTTAAAAAATAATTTGGCACGCTATTTTGCGCCGTGCGCAATGCGCCATGGCTCACATATGGCGCAAATAGCGCGCGCTATTTTAAACACATGCTACTCGTCATGAACATGACGCCGTAGGTGCGCCGTGCGCCATGGCGCGCGCTATTTTGCGCCATTGACAGCTATGCCCATGCTGGTCGTAGGATTAAGGGCCAAGGGCAAGGGACGACTAGAATTTAACATGTTGATTTGAGTGCATTTGATTGTGCGGGCACTCTTAAGGTTTAATACAAAAGGTTCACTTTATTGTTAAGGGGTTAGAAGTGGTAACACATGATTTTGCTAATTGGAGTAACAACAGAACTCTTAATAGGGCCCCATTTATTCATGTAACGAAGAATGATACTCAACATATCTTCTTAATCAAGTCATTTTCTTGCAAGATATACCCTCTTAGGTGAAGGAAACCTTTGGTCCTATTAAAAAAAGAAATAAAATGAAAAATTCAAATTTTTCATTCTAGAAAAGGATTAAAATGATCCCCCAATTTTTTGTTAGAGATTAAAATAGTCCCAAACTATTTTGAGGGACAAAATTGGTCCCTCAACTCCTCCAATTGGGACTTTTTTTAATCTTGTCATCTAATGGTTTATTTGATGGTGTTAAGTATGAGGGTAGTTTAGTCTTTTTTAATTAAAATATTTAATGAATCTAATTTTTTAGATATTTCAATTTTGTAAAAAAAATGTATTAAACTTATATTTATTAAGAAATATACATTTTTTAGTTTTAATAATTATCCATAATTTCTTTACCCCTTCTCCACTGTTCTTTTCTCTTCAACTTCGTCTCCTTCGCATGACGTGTAGAGTTTTGTACAAATAGCTGAATAACTTCTTCGCCTCCTTCAACGACATTCCTTCATGTCGAATACGAAATCACACTTCGCCGTTCGTGTGTTCTATCGGAAGTAACGACGATGACGGGAGCTTGCTCGTTGTGAAGGTAGCCATCTTTCTTATGTTCATGAGCTTCTTCGGCCAAATCAATTGTGATTGTAAGTAACGACGACGACAGCTTGCTCATTGCGAAGGTATCCATCTTTCTTCCATTCGCGCGCTTTCGGCCAAATCTACTGCGATCAAAAGTAACGACGACGACGGGAGCTTGCTCGTTGCTAAGTTAGCCTTCTTTCTTCAGTTCACACGCTTCTTCTTTGCTTGTTTCGATAATACCCTCCTGCCCATCTGTCTTTTACGTTTAAAATTGAGGGCAGGATAAAAAGTCTCATTTTCTCTGTAAACCTATTGTGAATCTTATTCATGGTGTTAGCTTGGCCTGAATTAAGTTATGGTGGTGGATCCTGATCCAAACTATAGTGCCATGATTCATTTAGCTCACAAGTGGCATCATGCAGTGGGTTATTTGATAGTTGATAGAAACTGTGGTGGATCAACTACGATTTGTGTGGCATGCATGATGCACACTCAGTCTTGTTACGTTATCTTGGTATCTTTTAACCTTCATGCCCCATCATGTGTTATTCGATTGCTAATTGAAAATATGAAGTGCAGTGTTTGACTGCTTATGATGAGAGTTATTCTTGGTGTTAGCTTATTCGTTGGTCCTGATCCAAATTATGGTATTAGAAACTTTTTAAATGTTATTATTGCCGTCCTCATCAAAACTATGCTCTTCTGATCCTTCTAGATGCCATGATGACCATCATGTAACGCATGCTTCGTCAATCCAATTCTGTATTTATAGGAGATTTTACATGATGCAGATATGAATAGTGAATTATGGTCTTAGGGCATCTCCAACCGAACGCCAAACATGCCTATGGCATCGTTCGGTCGCTCCAGCCGAACGCCAAATTTTCCGCCGCCATTTGTTTGTAGCATTACACTGTTCACCTACGTGATTTTTCTATCTCAACCGGATTTGCCGAAGAAACGCGCCAAAGAGGAGAAAGACGGTTACCTTCGCAGAAGCCCACAAAATGGAGTTCGATTCGTGATGAATCACGTCATTTTTGAGTTTCACTGCATTCCGGAGTGAAAAATATGATTTTCGGTTAGAGATGCTCTTAGGCTATTTTTGGTCCCCAATATACGAGTTTCTACTTTCTAGTAGTAGTCATAAGGTCCTTCGTTGTCCCAACCAAACCGATGCTTTAGTTGTTCCTGAGTACCTGGAAGCCTTTAAGATTTAGATTCTTCTGATCTCTACTTGTTTTTATTTCGTTAAAAGTTTTTTTCTTGTCCCCCACTGATAAACCCTAAGCTGTAATAAATTGTCTGATGAAGTTTTTTTTTCTGTATCAGGGTGTGCTTGCATTGTGCGGCATGCATGATGCACAAGCCAAACCAGTTTTGTTTTGCTCTTGTAATGACAACACTGTTCGCCTTTACGACCTACCATCGTAAGTATTTTTTTTATTTTTATTTTTTATGATCATTTGCCATCTTCAACCATCATTATTTTACCCTACAACTTACATTTAAACTTTACTTTCTCCTCCTTTTTTCAGATTCAATGAGAGGGGTAAGATTTTCGCTAAGGAAGAAGTGAGAGCAATACAGATTGGCCCTGGTGGCCTATTCTTCACTGGAGATGGAACTGGCGAGCTCAGAGTGTGGAAGTGGTTGACCAGTGAGGTTCCAGCTGCTTGACACGAAACAAGATCAACCCATTTGTGGAGAGATTATTCTCTGCGGACACCGGACACAGCTTACCGTCCAGAGACGAATCAAGTGCAGCCATGTCATTCAGTATCGAATAAGAGATGAAGTGGCGCATTTTTATTGGACTTTGGATGGCGTTCGGCATCCGCAAAGAATAATTCATCTCATTTGTGTTCATATGTTTCTTTCTTTCCTTTTTTTTGTGTGCGTGAATATATGATCAACATTTGAATGTTGATAGAGGAGAGATGCAAAGGCAGCAGATTTTATTTGTGTTATCCATTGTAATTGGTTTGCTGGCTTTCTTCCTTATCTACAGACGCAAGGAAATGCAGTATCTGTTTACCAGCAAATCCCGCCTCTTGATTTTATTTTATTTTATTTTTTTTTCTCGGCGTCTAGGAAAGCTTGTAAGCCCGAAGAATATATTTGAAAAATTTTAACTTGTTTGCCCACTTATTTTATTTTATTTTTTTAGTTTTTATATTTGAAAAACTTTAACTTGTTTGCCCGCTTGTTTCCTAATTCAGTGACCAGTATGGTTGGTTTGTCTTGCTTTGTAAATTACCAGTTATTTAAAAAAAAAATTAATATTTTTATCATTGAAATGAAAAAACATAAAACTATGTTATTGAGTTTCCTTTTTTTTTGTTAAAGGAGATAAATGCAGTTATCTGTTTACCAGCAAATCCCGCCTCTTGATTTTATTTTATTTTTCTCGGCGTCTAGGAAAGCTTGTAAGCCCGAAGAATTATTTGAAAAATTTTAACTTGTTTGCCCACTTTTTTATTTTATTTTATTTATTTTTTTTATTTTCTTTATTTTCTTTATTTGAAAATTTTTAACTTGTTTGCCCACTTGTTTCCTAATTCAGTGACCAGTATGGTTGGTTTGTCTTGCTTTGTAAATTGTGGGCACCGAAAATTCCATTTTGATATGTGTGTGATCCCGGCCTCTCCGCATCATCTGTCTATTTTTATTTTGAGTGTTTATGTGACGATGACGATAGAGAGTTTTAACTAGATTAGGTTCCGGGGGAATTTTCAAAAGGCAGATTTGGTTTTAGATAAGAGACTACCTAGAGATTTCGCCTTCATTTTGTGAGGATTTTTTGATCTGAGTTCTGGTTTCCTATAGACGCAAGCTCCTATAGTTAATTACCCCTCCTGATAACAAGAGAGAACTTTCGATTAAGGCTAGTCGTTCAAGCGTTCACATAGGTTATGAACCTATCGTATAATAGCAATAATTTAGGGTTTAAATTTTGAATTTGGAAAATGAAAATTTGGAATTTATAGTTTATTACCATAAACTTAAAACTGGTGGTGGGGGGAATGAAGACGAGCCCGATCAAGATCCCATGGTTTCGTCGTCCCGGGTTGTCATTATCCCTGGTCTACTTAGTCAGAGGAGGTAGTCGCCCAACCTGATAGAAGACATCTTGTCGGCAGCCATGGGTTGTTTTATCCAAGAATACCTTGTAGACCTGGGTTGATGTTTGTTTAAGGGGATATATATGAATCCACTTTAGCTGATAGAGGATTTTATGCCTATCAAATATATCATATGATCCATCGCTCAAGGGTTTTACGCCTTTAGGGAACATACGAGCTTTGGCCGTGATCGTAATATAATGGTGTCATTTTGCGGCAAAATCACTCGATCAGAGGGCACGTGCCACGTCCCTGTTGGCAAGAGACTGTTTGAGGATGAATCAAAGTGATACACCCGACATGCATTCGCTCTTTGTGAGCTGAGATTAATTTCAAATTTATCACCCTCGACAAACGGTTGCGAGAGGTGGATGATTTTTTTTTTTTTTTTAGTTTTAAGTTTTTATGTGATTGATTTCATTTCAGATATTTAAACATTTATTG